ATAAGATTTTCACTATATTTAATGACAAACATATTATTTGGAGAAAAATAAAGACATCTAGTTTGCAACCTATAAAGAAAACATAAATTCTAAAGAAACAAATAGAAAGTTGCAAAGTACTACATATATGCTGACTGTCCTAGATATTTTGTGCTGCTATAATAGATATACCATAAGTGGATGGCTTTAACAAACAGAAATTTATTTTCTTACAGTTTAGGAGACTAGAAGTCTGAATTCATGGTGCCAGCTCTAGGCAAAGGCTTTCTCTCTCTGTCAGGTCTGGGAGAAGGTTCTTGTTTCTTAAGCTTCTGTTTCCTGGTTCCTTGGAGATTTCTATGTGGCTTCACATCAATCTTCCCCCATCTCTACTTGCTAGCTTAATTGTTTAATCTCTTTTATATCTCAAAAGAGACTGGCTCAAGATACCCCCTACACTAATCCTATCTCATTAACATAACAAGACAACCCCTTCCCAAACAGGATAATAACCACAGGCATAGAGTCTAGGATTTACAACACATATTTCTGGGTGACACAATTCAATCCATAACACTGGTCAAGATGGAAAAAAATGATATTTAGATAAGCTTGTTTAAACATCATCTCCTCATCTAGATATTCAAAGTCTTATCCTTGGATCACCAGATACCAAATAATGGGCCCATATTTGCTTACTGCCTTGTTCAATCTTCTTCATTGAAATCTACTTCAATACAACATTGGCATTTAATGGGCCCTTTACAAGAAACAATAAGAAAAATTCTTCCACATTTATCGTAAAATTGTTGTGATGATTTCCATCATACTGCTCAATATTCCTTTATGCAAATTTCCATAAGAGATAGGTGTTTATGACAAAGATAAATAAGAGTAAAGATTTCTTTTGCCAAAAGAATTTGGTGTGATTTATTTTCTGATATTACTATGGTACATCATAATTATGTTTTCCTTTTTGACCTGGAGTCGTGAAACTAGTGATAAAATTTGATATTCAATCCCAGCAATGATAGTAAACTTTAAATTTTATATATTTGTCACTTCTCACTGTCATACTTGTTTTATTTTACTAGTCTTATTATGAGTGATTGTTTGTGTGTATATATGTATACACACACACACACATTCATAGGCTCCTGGGTGGTGCAAACGGTTTGTGCTCAACTATTAACCAAAAGGTTGATTGTTCAAATCCACCCAGCATCGCCACAGAAGAAAGACCTGGAAATCTTCTTCTGTAAGATTACAGCCATTTGAAAACCTTATGGAGCACAGTTTTACTCTGAAGTACACAGGGTCACCATGAGTCACAATCAACTCAACAGCAAAGGGTTATATATACATATATATATTCACACACACAAAATTCACTTCAAATTTTAAAGAGGAAGGGTCTAAACATATCCATACAAACATATGATTATGAACACAAAAATAACTATTATAAATGCACCAACAAATCTTAATAAGGATCATGTTCATTATGAAGATATTTTTCTTAAGAGTTTCACCAGTGTATTTTTCACTTCCTTGTTCCTCAGACTATACATCAGGAGGTTCAACATGGGAATCACAGTAGTGTAAAACACAGAGGACACTTTCTCCTGGGTGAGTGAACTGTTGGAAGCAGATTTGAGATACATGGACGTGAGGGACCCATAAAATATAAGAACAGCTGTCAGGTGGGAACTGCAGGTACTATAGGCTTTGGATCTGCCCTCTTTAGAGTGGATGCGGAGGATGCTGGAGAGGATGAAAGCATATGAAACGATGATTGTCAACCTGGTGGCCACCATGTTAAACCCACCAATGATAAAAATCAAAAACTCATCAATATAAGTGCTGGAACAGGACAGTTTAATAAGAGGGACAATGTCACAAAAATAATGACTAATGATGTTTGAGTCACAGAAAGACAACCTTAATATACAACCTGTATGAATCACAGCATCTGTAAAACCTATTGAGAAGACAGCAGCCACCAGCAGAGAGCAGACCCGAGGGGACATGTTGACATTATAGAGCAGTGGGCTACAGATGGCAACATAGCGATCATAGCCAACAGGTAGCATTCTGAAATGACAAAAATACAGAAAAAAAAACAGCTGAGCCATCCATCCTTTATAAGAGATACTTTTATCTCTGCAGAGAAACCCTGCCAGCATTTTAGGGGTAATGACAGAAGAATAGCAGACATCTATAAAAGACTGAGGAAATAGTACATGGGTGTGTGAAGCTGAGAATTCAACACAATTATTGAGATCCCACCACGGTAACCATGTAGATCCTTAAG